TCAACTAACTCAGATTGCAAAACAGAATGCTGAAAGACCATCTGGAAGCCTACCAAGTGAGACCATTGTCAACCGCAAGAGCAATGATCAAGAGCAAGCAAAGGGTATCACTCTCATAAGTGGAAAATAACTCAATCAGCCAAGTGAAGAAATCACTCCCGTGAGTGACCCTGCAGGTAAGAACGAAACAAACTCTGAGAAAAGATCTGACAATGATCATTTGGTTGAACAGGAGCAACCTAAGGAGAAATCTGGAAAGGGAGAAGCCAATTCCCATAACCAAGTCAAAAGCCACATGATGCAATACCGCCATATTCGGTAAGACAAAAGAAGGCTAAGATGGATGAAGGACTCAATAGGTTTATTCAAAATTTGGAAAGCATACATATTAATGTACCACTTGTTGATGCACTTAAACAAATGCCTAAATACTTCAAGTACTTGAAAGATCTGGTGGCTAATAAACCACAAGTGCACGGCTCCGCTTTTGTTACTCTAAATGGAGAATGTAGTGCAGCTATTCTGAGAAAATTGCCACCTAAGCTAAGAGATCCGGGTAGTTTCACTCTTCCTAGCACGGTAGAAATCAGAGAATTTTCAAAAGCATTACTAGATCTTGGCGCAAGCATATATCTCATGCCATTGTCTGTATTTAAATCACTTGATCTCGACAAATTTCTGGTACCTACTAACATGACATTGCAGTTGGTAGATAGGTGACTGACCTACCCAAAGGGAATCTTACATGATGTTCTTGTGAAGGTTGGGAATTTCGTTTACCCAGCAGACTTTGTGGTTTTTGACATGGAAGAGGACAAGGATGTGCCCATCATCTTGGGGAGACATTTTCTAGCAACAAGTGATGCAATCATTAAGGTGCAAAAGGAAGAAATCACACTGCACTTTGATGGAGAGAAGGTTACCTTCAACATCTTCAAAAACATGAGATATCCTGCTGAAATCCATAACTGCTGCATGGTAAAAAGTGTAGAAGTAGAAGAAGCAGTGATAGAAGAAATGCTACAAGATGAACTCCTCAAGGAACTCTTATGCCCAGACAGTAATGAGGAACAGGAAGGAGGGGATGAGTACAGGCTCACTTGCCTGAGTTACCTGAACCACTCTCCCAAGTGGTATCCTAAACAACAACCCTTTGAACTGTTAGACCTGACTAAGGAAGGAAGATGCCTCAAACCTTCAATTGAAGAACCACCTCATCTGGAACTTAATCCTCCGCCTTCACATTTGAAGCACGTATATTGGAGCAAGCAGCAACTTACCTGTGATTATTTCTTCTATGCTTACAGGTACTGAAGAGGATAAGCTACTAAGAGTGCTAAGGTTGCACAAGGAAGCCATTGGATGGTCAATTGCAGACATCAAGGGCATTAATTCTTCCATATGTATGCACAAGATTCTACTTGAAGGCGATGCCAAGGCAACCATTGAAGGACAAAGAAGGCTCAACCCAGTCATGAAGGAAGTGGTGAAAAAGGAGATTATTAAGTTGCTGGACGCTGGAATCATCTTCCCAATATCTAACAGTAAGTGGGTGAGTCCAGTGCAGTGTGTGCCTAACAAAGGAGGAATCATAGTAATAAAAAATGATCTCCAGGAGCTGATCCCTACAAGGCTGAACAATTCATGGAGAGTGTGCATGGACTACAGAAAGCTTCATAAAGCTACCAGAAAGGACCACTTCTCACTTCCCTTTATTGATCAAATGCTGGATAGATTGGCTGGATTCATGTATTACTGTTTCCTTGATGGTTTCTCAGGTTACAACCAGATTGCCATAGATCCTGATGATCAAGAAAAGACAACGTTCCCCTGCCCCTATGGCACATTTGCCTTTAAGAGAATGCCATTTGGACTGTGCAATGCACCTGCAACATTTCAAAGGTGTATGATGGCCATTTTCTCTGATATGGTGGAAGACATAATTGAGATCTTTATGGACGACTTCTCGGTTTTTGGTAAGTCATTTGATGCATGCCTGGACAACCTTGGACTGATACTAAAGAGATGCATAGAAGCCAACTTAGTCCTCAACTGGGAGAAGTGCCATTTTATGGTAACTGAGGGGATTGTCTTGGGACATAAGATCTCACAGGAAGGAATCGAAGTGGACAAGGCAAAGATTGAAGTCATAGAAAGGCTCAGCCCACCAACCACAATCAAAGGAGTAAGGAGTTTCCTAGGCCATGCCGGCTTTTACAGGAGGTTCATTAAGGATTTTTCAAAAATCTCTAAACCATTGTGCAACTTGCTTGAAAAGACACTGCTTTTATTTTTGATGAATCCGCCTAAATGCATTTATCGAATCGAAAAGAAACATCTCTGCACCTGTAATCATCACACCTGATTGGTCACAGCCTTTTGAACTAATGTGTGATGCTAGTGATTTTGCAGTTGGCATTTTACTTGGACAGAGAAGGAATAAGGTGTTGCATGTGGTTTACTATGCTAGTAAAACCCTCAACCCTGCACAAATCAACTACACCACTACAGAGAAGGAAATGCTGGCAATTGTGTTTGCATTCAACAAATTCAGAGCTTATTTGCTAGGAATAAAAGTCATAGTCTACACAGACATGCTGCCATCAGGTACTTGATCAATAAAAAAGAATCTAAGCCCAGGTTGATTCGATGGGTGTTATTGTTACAGGGAATTCGATTTGGAAATAAGAGACAGAAAGGGTGCTGAAAATCATGTAGTGGACCATCTGTCAAGACTTGAAGATAATCTAGAAGATACAACTCCAATTTCAGAAAAATTCCCTGATGAGTCACTCTGGCGAGTGACGGCACACTCATGGGAGTGACAGGTAACAGGCCTTGGTTTCCAGATTTTGCTAACTTTGTTGCTGCTGGTATTATTCCTCCAGATTTCACCCCTCAACAGTGCAAACAGTTCCTTCATGATGCTCAACTCTACCTATGGAATGAATCTTACCTCTTCAAAAGATGTATAGACCAATTGATCAGAAGGTGTATTCCAGAACCTGAGTTCACAGAAGTGTTGCACAAATGCCACAGTTCTCCCTATGGTGGACATTTCAACGGTCAAAGAACGGCAATCAAGGTTCTGCAAGCTGGACTGTATTGGCCATCTCTGTTCAGAGATGCACGTGAATTTGTCAAAAGCTGCGACAGATGCCAAACGATAGGAAACATTTCCTAGAAGAATGAGATGCCACAACAGAATATGCTTGAAGTAGAACTGTTTGATGTATGGCGGATAGATTTCATGGGTCCTTTCGTGTCATCTTTTGGGAACTCCTACATCCTACTGGCAGTAGACTACGTTTCAAGGTGGATAGAAGCCGTAGCTGCAAGAAACAGTGATGCTAAGACTGTTCTCAGGTTCTTAAAGAAACACATTTTTGCCAGATCTGGTACACCCAGGATGATAATCAGTGATGAAGGATCACACTTTTGTAACAAGTCATTTGCAACCATGGTGGAGAAATATGGAATCAGGCACAGAGTATCAACACCATACCACCCACAATCAAACGGGCTAGCAGAAGTGTCAAATAGGGAAGTGAAAAGAATCCTGGAAAAGGTTGTCAACTCTACCAGAAAGAACTGGTCCTCAAGGTTGGATGAAGCTTTTTGGGTATACAGAACAACATATAAAACCCCCATTGGTATGTCTCCATTCAAACTGGTCTATGGGAAAGCATGCCACTAGCCAGTAGAGTTGGGGCATAAAGCTTACTGGGTTATTAAGGAGCTGAATCTTGATCCAAGAAAAAGCAAGGAACTTAGATTGATACAATTGAATGAGCTGGAAGAATTCATACTGGAGGCATATGAATCATCCAGAGTTTATAAAGAGAAAACTAAGGCTTACCATGATCAACACATTGTGAAGATGGACCTGAAAGAAGGACAAGAAGTCTTATTGTTCAATTCCAGGCTGAAATTCTTTCCAGGGAAGTTGAGGTCAAGAATCCACAGAATGGCAACACCTTTTTGGTCAATGGGCAGAGACTAAAGCCATATCTTGGGCTGGCAAAAGGGAATAAGGGACAGGACAGTCACGTTCTTGTCCTCAAGGAGCTCAACTGAAATTTTCTGAAAGTCTGGCGTGAGACTTAAAACCAATGCGCTTTATGGGAGGCAACCCATATGTTTTGCTTTTGTGTGGCTAATTTTGTGCTATGCCAATTTTGCAGGAACGGATAAGGTATCTATCACCCCAAACGGATTTCAAAAAGTGTAAACACAAAAAGCCCTTAGGTAAACTCACTCCTAGGAGTGAAGAAGGTCTCTCAGCCGGGTGAACCTGCAGCAACCTGATTCTATAAGTCATTCAAACCCTGACGTCACTTACAAGTGGGACAATTCACTCATCTGAGTGAGGACAACCGTACAACACTTTCTCCAAAAGCTCATCTTTTTGAACTCTATTTTACAGTTTAAGTTTGGGGGGCAATTTTTCACGAAATTTTTCAAAATTCAAAATTAAACCAAGTCCGTTGTTAAAGCCACATTGGTTAGCCACAACTTCCCAGAATTTAACTGATGTGCATTTAATTGGAACTCCTCCACTTCTTCATCTTCTTCTTCTCCCAGAACCAGCCCTTCAATTACCACTCCCTTGTGTGAACGCACTAGCCCTTCTCTGAGATTTCAGGCAACCAAGGTAGAATTTCAATTTAGACCCAATTCACATCGCTTTACCAATTCAGTTTAGGATTCCTAAATCATGCCGTCGGCAAGGAGAAAAGTTGCTGCCCACAAAAACGCATCCAACACCAGAAGACGGATATCCTCCTCCTTATCCTCTTCCTCTCCTGAAAGGCAACCTTCCCCTCACCGGGAGCCTACACTGCCGCCGCCCCCACAACCACCATGGGTCCTCCAAGAACAAGCCCTCAATGCACTCACAGACGAATGGGAGCCAAGGCTATTCCCGAGAATTAAGGCTTCGGATTTCTTGTTGAAACATCTCAAGCGCAAGATCATTGCAGAAAGGTGAATCGGTGAGGATGGTGAAGCGTTCACCTACATCAAACGCCATAGGTGGCAGATGTTCTGTAGGCCCCTTATCCGGCCCCAGAGATGGAGTGTTTGTCCGAGGAATATCGGTCAATTGCAGCACAGAAGCTATTAGGGCCATCTGGAAATTGCCAAGAGTCAGCACCGATTACAGGGACACCATCGCTGCCCTTTCGAATCAGCCACTGGAGCAAGCAATTCTGTCAAGACTTCCAAAGGAAGGCACAGACTGGGAGAAGGATGATCAGGACAACCCCTTAGGATTCCAAGCTAATGCCCTGCAAATGCCTGATCTGAATTTATGGCACCACTTCATCTACTGCAACCTGATGCCAACAACCTACATTACCAAGGTCACCTATGAACAAGCCATGATGTTGTATGCAATTGTCACAGACACGCCACTAGATGCAGACATCAGTAATTAGGGATCAACGCACCAAATGTATCACAGATCTCAAGGTGAAGAGCTGGTACTTCCCAGTTATGATCACCATGCTTTGCAGAAGGGCAGGGGTGACCTTTTTGAACACAGACACAGAGAGCAGCCTACAACAACCTTTGAGGCTGAATAAGTTGGATCAGAGACCCCCAGGCGCATCTTCCTCAGGACAAGCAGCATCCACTCCCACTCCGGCTGAACAGTTGAGGCAGAGAGATTTCAACAAGCAGACTCGGTTCATCCTGGACTATGTCCACCAATGCCAATTAAGGACCGAGCAATTCTTGCAGGAAATGCACAAATGCATTGGATGCCCTGAAAACTGCCCATTGCCACATGATCCGCCAACCCATCCACTTCATGGCATGCCGCCATGAACTTTCAGGGAAGTCCTATTCTGCTACCCCAATTAGCTATTTAGTTTTTCTTTTTTCTGTTAAATCGTGAATTCTTGTTATTTTCTGTTGATGTGTTTTGTTCATTGTTAAGTTGTTCTGTGTTGATCTGATTGCTGTAAGCATTGAGGGCAATTCTTTTAATAAGTTTGAGGGAGTAGTTTTGTCAGGACTGGTGTCAGTAGGTTCTTTAGATTGAAGTATTTTAATGTCTAGATGGAGTCTGTAAATTTTTTGGAATAAAATGAAAATTTTCTAAAAAGGAGCTGTCAACAGTCTAGGAGGATAATGGTTTTGAAAAAAATTTGCTAAAACACTTTTGATACTGAGTCTTATGCATGAAGTGAAAGAATGGCTAACACTCACTCACACACATGAACAATGCCACTCGTGGAAGTGACTGCCTAGAACATAAATCCTAAAATTTGGCATGACTAATCCACTGTTGTGATCCGTGTCTAGTTCTAAGCTACAAGTAGATGAGAAATGCTGTAAACCTGAGACTTCCCTTGTGGTATCCATTCACAGCCTGTCAGCTAAAAAAAAAAGAGAGAAGAAGAGAAAAAAAAAAGATTGGATCAACTGAAACCTTAGGGGTAACAGTAAGGAACCACCACAAAAAGTTCCAAACTGTTGGAGTAATAAGGGTTGAGGTATAAGGCAGTGGAGAGAGATAAGGTTGAATAACACCCCTCCCAATAGTGTAGGTCAGTCCATCTACATTCAGTTAAAAAAAAAAAAAAAGACAAACATTAAGGCTGTGAAGGAAGACCATGATTGAAGGCTCAGTAGGTAAATCAAGTCGAAGTAACTTGGGCAAAACCGAATCACAAGAATGACCACCACACGCTGAAACTGGTTAAACTAGAATGGATTGATAGGTTGGCATGAACTAACACTTGCGGCAGATATTCTGAATTCATGTGAAGGTTAGTTGTTTGATTGTCGATTGCAGAAGAGTTTGGTATCCTTAGTGTGTGTTTTCTTTACTTAAATCTAAGACAAAAGGTTGACAGCCCCTGGTAGATTGGTGTTGTGTTGTGTTCCATATCCAGTGTCACTTGCCCGAGTGAGCATCTTTACTCAGGGAAGTAAGTCAGTGTTAAGTCTGTATGGCAGTGTTGTTTCCCCTATTTCTCAAATATAATCCTCAAAGTGTCAGTAAGAGTCTATTGGTATTGCTTGTGGACAAGCAATTCTTCCAGTTTGGGGGAGTTGATAGTGGTTAAATTGTTGCACAAAAACATTACCATTTACTCTGAATTTAATGAAAAATGAGGGGTGATTCTTTGAATAAGTACATATTACTTAACTAGTTTTCATGTTTTTGCATAGGAAGGGACCTGAGTGAAGAAATGCTGAAAAAGGAGGGCTGGTGAGACAAAAACGAGCTGATGAATTCAAATTCTGCTGAGATGCTCAAGGACATCTTCTAGACACAATTAATGAGGTTGTCTCTCCTTAAGAACCCACGGGCATGCTTGTCCCCTTGGCCGACAAACCAACCTCCCAAGCTGATCAATGCCACAACTGATACCACTTCTGGAAGGAGAGCAAAAGACCAGTCCAAGATACAAAACATTGGGGTGAATAAAGAATACATAGGCATGGGGAGGTGCTCTTGGAAGAGGAACTGGCATCTAGCAGTATAAAAGGGGAGATGCATACACAGAACAAATCATCTCTGGCTACACCTTTCAGTTGCCAAGAACACACAGAAAAACTCCATAAAGATGGCAGAAGGAAAGAAGAACAGCAACAACTCAGTAAGGAAGCCAAGTTGAAGAACAGTCATCTCAGTCACTGCTACAGTCCCCTGAGTGAATCCTGTCACTCCTAGGAGTGACCTCTGATCTGCATAAGCTGTCTTCTTCTCTTAAACTGTTAGCTTGTATTTCATTTCATTGATGCATACTCTATGATGTCTGTTGAAGTAGTAGTTGTAGCATCAACCAGTATGAGTAGCTAAACAGCTTCCAGGGGTTAATCTCTTCAACCTATGTTGTAGTTTTTGTAATGCACTGGTTTTGTTCTTTGTTTTGAAGTCGAAAGTATTTCTACATTCAGTTACTTGATCTCTAATTGAATGCATGCTAGAACTAAAGGAAAATCTGGAAAGATAAACTTGGTTTGGACTGTTTCAACTTCAACTTGTGACATAGAGGTAACAATCTATGGTTTTAACTAAGATAGGAATATACTTAGTTAACATGAGCATTCATATAAACCGTAGCTCTTAATGACTTTATAACTGGACTCAATTGTTTGAAAATAGATTGTTAAAGTTACAAAGATGACTCTAGGAAAAATGGAAACTGACTTAGAGTTAATTCTGAGCTGAATGAACAAGAACTTAACCATTTAAGTGCAAATTACAACTGCTGCAACAGGAAGAGGAGATGAACACCCCTGGACCGTACTCCCGTGGGTGAACATTTCCATTCCCCTAAGTGACCCTTGCTTGAACTGGTAGTCTTTTAACAATAAATTTGGTAATTTAGCTGTCCCTGTGGGAACGACCTAGCTTCCATTATCTATAAATCCATAATCCAGCTAGTATTATTTTTATTGTATATATTTTTTTTTTTAAAAAAAAGTGGAGGTTTGCCACAAGATGAAGAGAAGAGGAAAAAGAGGGTGGGCTCGGGGAGGGGAAGAGAAAAAATAAATAAAGAAGGGCGGCTGGGGGATAATAGGTGAGATAGGGTTTTTCATTTAATGTTTATAAAATTACGATATGACCTTAATAGTTTAAATTAGTAACAGTATGACTTAGAAACTTTAAATTATACTTAATTTACAACATAATTTATTTTTTATTTCATGTAAATATTAGGGATAATTTTGATTAGAGGCATAGGAAAGATCAAATTTATTATGAAGGGCATCTGTTCTATTTATTCATTAACATGAATAATTAATTACTTTTAATGGTGATTAGGTTCTTAAAAGACTATCACAACCTTACTTTCTAATACAAATCTATTGCTCTTTCAGTTCCATTGCCAATCAATTATTCCCCAGATTCATTTGGTAACCACATTTCATAGTCTTTCATATATTATATTATTGTATAAATAAATATAAAACTTGAAGTTAATACATCTCCATATATATTAGAATATTTTTTTTCAGAGACACGTGTAATTCAATTAGGATATTAATAGCTTCCAATAACACATTTTAGTATTCAATGTGGTTATATATTTGCTTCAGGGGTTAATTGTTGAAACTTTATTGTCTCATTAGTTCAATTAAGGATTAGATACTAATCCATGTTTCTCCCCACATTTTAATTGTTCATGCATACATTCTGTCATCATCAAACTTCTCATAAATTGTTTTGTAAATTTTCACATGAATTAAAACAAAATAAAAAGAAGAAAATTTATTTTGCATTTAGAGTCTGATTTTGTAACAGTTATTTTTTTAGTGGAGAAAGATTGCATGGGGGAGAAGAAAAAAATGCAGTGCAAGAGAAATTATCTCAATCACGGTTTCATTGAGAAGGTACAAAATTAACCACAATTAATATATAATAGAAAATTAAATTAGAGATACGGGTAAATTAATTGATGTAATGTATAATGATGAAAAAATGTAGAGGAAAAAAGAAAAAGGAAATTAAAAATGTAGAGAAAAAAGTGAAATAAACCAGAGACTACATTCAATTATTAGCCAAACTGAAATAGTACATTTTGCTTATTAAACTAATATATAATAAATTATATCACCGCATAACGTGCGGGAATAATACTAGTTACTTTGTAGTAGGAATTTTATTTTGTTTCCTTATTGCCTTAATTGTATATTAGACCAAGATGAAAAGATTAGGTTAGATTATATAAGATGTGATTTGATATTATTGATTCCATATTTTATCTCAAAATATGCAATTAGAATAATTGGTAGATTCTTTTCTTCCCTATTAAATGTAAAATTTGTGACCCCCTTAGTCCTATAAATAGAAGCTGAATTTCTCATTGTAGCAGAATCTCATACGTGAGTTTATACAATGTGATGTTTTATAACTTTTTGGAGCTAGGTTCTTTGGAGAATTTTTCTTTGTTTTGGCTTGTAGTTACATGGAGTTTATACCTTCAAACATGAGACTTATCTATTGTGTTGGTTCACAGAATAGTGACGTCTATAGCATTTGTTCTTTTTTACTATTGTGATTAAGGGTGAAATATCGTATATCCTTTGGTTCTTTTTTTTTTTTTTAATTCTCGAAATGATTTTTGATTTAGGATTAGTTTGTTCAATTCATGGGTTTGAATTGGGTTAGTTCTTCACTGAACTTTGTGAGTTGATCCATGTTTTAGGCCAAATATCCTTTTTATTTTCTTAATTTCATATTTAAACATTTCTAGATCTTTCCACCACATAAGAATACATTTTATTAACAAGGTTAAATTCTTATGAATTTGGTTTTGCTGTTCGATCTACTATCATATTCTCTAGAATGATCTCCTCCGTGCATGTGAATACAATCACTCCCGATAGTGAAGAATGTTCTTTGAGTGTCAACTCAAACAATATCAATCTTGTAGAGTGATCTTAGCCATCCATCTTGATGTAGCTTGCATCAAACGGTTGAGTAAACATCAATCGGTAAGCTCTTATTGTGAATAAAATCAGACACAATAAATAAAACATCATATCAAATTTTATCCTTCTAAGACTGTGAAAAGATTTGAATGATCACATCCCTAAATGATAGAGATCACACACACGACTCCTAAAGTTTAAGAGTGAGTACGGCGGTATCTCCTTGGAATGAGGGGCAAAAAATCTTTCTTTCAAATGGGCCTAGTCCATTTGTTGACAACATTTGGAACATATTTAGTCTTGGACAAGTAATTGGGGCTGATAAAATGTCCAAACCCATTGGGACCCCAATGGGACTCTTAATAAATGGGTGGGTAAATCCCGCCCATATTTTTTTAGAAACACAAGTGTAGGTGTTAATTATGGGTGGA